GTTGACAGATCTCTAAATGATGGAGAAGCGTGTAAGTTGGGTGGCGCAAAGCCAGGATTCCAGCATTTTCTGACTATTAATTACTCAACATTGCAGGTTTTGATTATAGAAAATTAACTAATTGGGTTTTTGTTATTGAAATGATCCACCAACAGAGCCAGCCCAAGATATATGCAAGTTAAGCGGCTCCTTAAGGCCTCCACACCACTAGGGGGCCCTCAATGGCATCAAGCTAGCACGAATAATCAGATTAATTGAGATAAATTGGATTATTGAAATAATTGTCAACTAATTAGTTAATTGTTAATGAGGCTCTAGAAAGCAAAAAAGATAATTGCTGAAAGAACAATATATTTAGAGCAATTATTAAACCAAAACTGTACAAAAATATCAAGTTCAAGATAAAAAAAAAACACTTCATGCAAATATGTTCCACCCAGAAGTCTTCAAATGGCATAGTTTTATCTAAAGAAATGCTGTTACTGCATTTCAGGTGATGAAACATTTATTTAAAAAATAATTATTTATTTGTATTTTTTAATATTGTATAAAAATAAAATATGGTTAAAGTTAGTAAATGAAAAATCTGCAGAATGTGCTAAACGTTTTTATCCAATTACTCATCAGAAAAATCAATTATCTAAATAATCGTCAGTTGATAGAATCTGGTAATATATTTACCAGCCACAATGATGCTGGTGTGATGCAAGCTCAATACAAATTATGCTAATGCTAGTAAGTATGTTAGAAACATAGAGTAACCTAGTATCTCGTGTTGACATGTTGGTATGGGAGGCCCCAAATGGAAATCTGTTGAAGGCCCCCAAAAGCCTTTGGCCGGCCCTGGACCTTATGAACAGGTACAGAGCCGTGTTTTGGGTCCTGTACTGACTGTTTTATTCTACATGTATATCAAGAATCGTGATGTTTGTGACGTTAGCTTTGTAAAAATTGAGCTCTAAGATGTTTTTTGTTTGTTTGTTTGTTTTTTTAATGGCTGTTATCATTTCTGTTCTACTGAACCGGGTCAGTACTTTCTCTCCACCAGACAGTGAAATAATGTCAAACAGTTACAAATTAATTCAGATGGAAAACGAATGCCAACGTCAATTTAAATTAAATTAAACTAATTAAATTTCGGTCTGGACTTTGACTAGGCCGCTCTAACACATAAATATGTGTTAGTGAACCTTCATCTCGGTCTTTAATGTTTTGAATCCTATTACTGATATCCATCAACTTCTACCTAGGAACGCATTCCCACAGCATTATTCTGCCACTACTATGTTCCTTAATAACTATTCTGAAAATTCAGGCACTAAAATTATAATTTTTTTAGTTGTATGTTAAAGAAACCATGAATCACATTGCAAAAACTCAAACATTACTCAAATTTAGATTTAATTTGTAGTGCAAATATCTTAGTACATTTGAATTAAGACAAAACTTAGAAGTAATTTTTAACAAGATAGAAAGAGCTGATTTAAAATCAATAATTCTTAAAATTGATTTTAAAAAATCACTAGTTCTACTTGGAAATAAATTCAATTACAACAAGACATTTTTCCCCATGTTATAAATGAAATGATCTGCTGGTGGAACTATCAATATTAATTATTTAAACAAGCTTTTATATCTTGCTGAAAAGTTACTTCTAAGTCAGTTTTAACATAGTTTTGTAAAACTGCTGAAATTGGCTCAAATCAGGACTGGATGATGATTCTTTAAAGAACAGGTTGATTTTCTATAAATAAAAGTAAATTTCCTGTCAAATATCCAGTTTTAAACCATGAAAAGACAGTAAAATTTCTTACTTTGATTTTGTGTTTATCAGCAAATTTTGATTTAAAAACTCAGGTTTAATGTGGCAAATTAAAGATGGATGTTGATATTTGAGCTTTAATTGCTGTTTACTTGACACAAATTAATATTGTTAATGTTTTAAATAACAGAATTGTGAGTAAACTCTAGAAGAATCGCAGCTTATCCAGACCTGAGAAACCTCTCCAGCTTTTCTCAGACTGTTGAAAGCAGACAGGCAGGCTTTTCCCCATGTAAGTGTTGTTTTTGTAAAAAAAAAAGTGGCGGCACTTCATCGCCGCGCTCCATTTGCTACAATGATGCGCATCATTTAGCCGCGGCGCTAACCGACGACCACAACGCTCTTCCACCCCGGCTGCCTCAGACCCGGCCAGAAAGTTCAGCCCTCCTCTCCCGCCTGATCTCCAGGTTTGATTTTCTTTTAAATGAAGAGAAGAGGAAAAAAAACCCTGAACCAAACATGAAAGGCATAAACAGACCAAACTATGACCTTCACCAGAAGGTCTCCATTCATTTCAGTGATCTTATTGTTTGCATTAGCCAGACGATGACTGCAGATTAATTGGACGTCTTGCATTGAAATCTTCAGAAACAGAAGAACTTTGAACATTCTTGTTTCTTTTAACTCTTTAATTGCCTTTTGTGTGAGTAAATACGATAAAAATGTCCCAAAATATCAACTTTCTCCCTCCTTACATACACTGGAAAATGAGAATGGAGCTACAACTTCACAAAATCAAGCTATTTCTTCAAATTTAATCAACATTTTTTGTCAAACTTTAACGTTATAACTTCATAAATGTACTTGGTTAAACTTAATTTGATTACTTGTATAAGTGTAATCCAACAAAATGTCGACAAATTTACCAGATGTTTTTCAGTATTGAACAAAATTTGAAGTATTCGTTTGTATTCAGACAAATTTAGATTAAAATGTTAACATTTTGATTAATTTGAATAACAGTTTCCTTGTTACAAAAGATAACAAATAAAAGTGAAACAAAAAAAACTTCTAGCAGGATGTTTCATTCCAAAATTATTCACAAATCTTAACAGATTTTAACAGGATTTTATGTGGTTTATTTATATTCACTGTAAAAGTATTTTTGGTCTAGTTTCTTGTCCAAATAACTTAATGCACTTAAAAAAGTAAAAACAAACAAAGAAGTAACTTTTCACCAGGATATAGGATCTTGTTTTAATTCTTTCATATTGATTTAAAGTTACTAGTAAGTCAGTTTTGTCTTATTTCTTTCTTGCACTAGAAACTAGATTTAAATACTTGGTAAGACTTTGTGTTTTTGCAGTGTAGAAGGCTTTAAAGTTGAGCACTCATAAAAATGTGAAGTGTTTATTTTCCAGAGACGCCCAGTAGTTGCAGCTCAGTCAGAATGAATGGAGATTATTCATAAACCTGAGTTTTCTGGTGTTGCCACAGATTCTGAGCTGGGTTTTGACTAGACCATTCTAATGCATGATCATGGTTCGATTTAACCCACTCTGTATGTTTCAGGGTGAAACTCGAGGTACTTTCAGGTTCGCCTTATCTGTGTCGAGCGTTCCCCACAGCATGATGCTGCCAGGTTGCTGTGAATCTCTGCAGCTCCTCCAGAGTTACAAAACACATCGAACTTCATGGAGAAACATGGAAAACGTGGAGCTGATATGAACATTTTCATGGAAATGGTGGTGAGAAGTGGCGAGCAGACGCCATAAAGCAGCTCCACGCCTGGCGGAGGCTGCTGCTCGTTACTAGTCGCCCTCCTCCTGCGCGGCTAACGTTAGCCTGACGGCCCCATGATGCGCTCTGCGTGCTTAGAGTTGCGGCTGTGCCCCGTCCTGCGCTAATCTGAACTCTTTGAAGTTGTGCAACTCAAGGAGCTGCAAGAAACTGAAGCAGTTCCCTCTAAAAACTGGATGCAAAAATGTTTTCTCCTACTCAATAAATGCATCAAAGCTAAGAAATCCCACCTCTTTTGAGCCATAAATGCATCACCAGCAGCATGGATTTTCTTTTACTTTCCTTTAACCCCATAAAGGTGAAAAGCAAATGCTTTCATGCATAAACAAATAACATCCAGCAATTCATTTTTCTGGATTCTCTCTTGCAAATAATCTTAATTTCTCTTTTATGGATTAAAAATCTGTAATAAAGTCGTTACAGCCTCTTTATTAAGCTTTTTATTTGCTTTTAGATGTTTCCTTGTTCACCAGAAGAGATGAACAAGTTTTTAAATTTAAGACTTTTACACTAAAAGCTAATTGATTTGATTGAGGAGATGATTAGTTTTTAATCCTGAAAAAGTTCCAGTTTTTAAATCTTGGGAAAATGGATGACTTTTAGTTAAAGAACAGAAACTTTCCACCAAAACAGAGATTTTTCTAATCACTACAAAGGCAGAAAATTAATCAAAAGATTATTTTCTAAATGTGTTTAGGTTACATCCAAAAGATTTTATAATATTTGGATCAACTTTTGCATTTTAAACACATTCCACATGGTTTTGGTCTCACTTACCAGGTTTTTTTTTATATTCTATTTTTGCACATTTTTGTTTAGAAATCCCCTAAAAATCAGACGTATGCACTTCTGCATGTTTTTAATTTAGTGACATGGAAAAAACTCCATCCAGGTTAATGTTTGGCGTCTCGCAGTGCAAACACCCAATTAATTCAAGTTTTGTGATCATTCATCCATGCAGAGACCCCCACCTAAAAGAGGAAAAACTCTCTCCTTGCGCTGTTCGCGCTTGCATTTTTTCGCTAAAAAGCGGAATGCCACCCACAGCGCCAGCTCGGCCCATTATCTTGCTGACAAGCCGGAGTTTAGACATCAACTCGGCGAGGTGTGTGTGATCTACCTGCGGGTTGGGACCGTGACTCAGTAGCTTTCACCTCACCTGAGTGACTGCCAAAGAAAACAAAATGCGCAGCAGCCCAAAAGGCGCAAGACGGTCAAGATAAATGCAGAAATGAAATGGGAGAAATAGCGCAACAGAAACACGCCAGAAGAATAAAGCCACAAAGCGTGCATGTATCCGCATGTCTGAACACGAAGAAAATAGATTATTAAAGTTTATGGAGCTAAATGTGTTTATTTTTCCAGCAGTTTGCATTAGTTTAAAACATTTATTCAAGTAAATAATAATGGTAATAATAAAGATGATTTATATGCGTACCGTTTAGGTGAGATCCGGACCCCGCGTCCTTCCAGCTGACACCACATTGATTATAGAGTCCTGTCGCCAGTTGCTCAACTGGTTTCTTTAAAAAAAACCCCCTCAAAAATCACTTTAACTTGGAAACACTGGATACAAACTCAAACATTTCTTTCTCCTTTTAGTAATCCGTGACATCGCATGCATGCAAAGAGAGAAACCCACTTGGACGAATGGAATAAATAAAAGTAGCGCAGTTTAATAAACTATTTAAAAAAAAAACTCCTGTTCTCCAGGGAGCGCTTCCAATGAAAGGAGGGAAAAATGCGACGTGGGAAGTTTTAAAAATGCAATTGAGCCTCGAAATATTCCCATATGTTGGTCCTCCGTGAAGGGCGCTTTCTCGGAAAGTGTGTTTCAGTTCAAATAGGTGAGCGAGTGGAGCTGGGGAAGAAGTTCGGCTAATGTTTTATGGCTCTGAGCTCCGCCTGAAACCCGCGCTGCAAGCTAGCTTAAGCTACCAACATCACTTCCGGTTTGGAACTTCTGAATAAAACTCGTTTCAGAACGACGGCTGTGTGGGAGCGACGAAGTGCTTTTATTTTTTAGCTGCATTAGAGCACTTCCGGTGTTAAATGTTAACTTGACTCAGTTAACTTTTTTTTTTTAGGGAGGGGGAATACAGTATTAAACAAGAAACATTTGTACAAGTCATACAACAAATGTAAACTGTTAATATTAACACAAACACATCCGGTCAGAAGTTTACATACACCCATCACGGAAATTATTTATTTGAAGATTGCGTTTGACATTTTTATTTAAAAAGTGACTCAAGTATATCATTTACAAATTCTAATATTTTCATATCAGTAATTGGTTGCAAAAGTTTATTTTGGATTTTCTCAAGTGGTGCTGAAAGTTTTAGAGTTAGAGTTTTCAAAGTGTGGCCTGAGGGCCATTTGTGGCACCTGGAAAGATTTTGTGCGGACCCTGATTGTAATTCAAGAATGATCAAAAATTTACTTTTTAATTAGCATAAAATTATTACTAATCAAATGTGAAGTGCAACGGAAATGTTTAATTGCCAAACATAGTAAATGAATTCAGGATCAGCATCTCATCATATAAACCCAGATAGCACATGATGTTAA